GAAATGAATGAACAAGAAATCATTGCAATATTCGGATCATGTGATTTTTCTATATTACAAATATATTCACATGGATCATTATAAATAAGTTGAAGTTGGTAAAAAAAAATGAAGATATCAAGTTATTCTGGTATCCTAAAAGTAAACTAAGTATCACATAGCGCTGCTGTATACTTCCATTCTTCTTCTTCATAACATTTGTGCTAAGTATCCGTTCAGTAGCCTATAAGCTGAAGTGTAGTTTAGGCTGGGAGGAATACTGCTTTCACAGATTTCTGTTTCTTTAATGTGACTTGATGTAACCTGATTTACGTATATATGGACGTGTGTACAGTAACCTTGAGATTCCACTCTTAATGATCACCAAATTCCACCGTAAATAGGAAAATGGCCGTAATACAAAAAAATGTATTTGCAACGTCAACGGCAACATCCACAATCTATAAGAAGTATGTCTATATACATGACGATAGCCCTGGCTATTTCCAGGCTTTTCTAGGCTTCAATCCTGTTCATTTTTCGTTTCTTCAACTAAGCTGATACTCAGATGTTGATTCGTGTGTTTTTTCCCGAAACTTTGAAGCAAAATGATTGGTTGAAAAAAAGCTTCAGATATATGTGACTTTTTATGAAGATTTCATCGGTCTTTCTGTACACCATATATAACCTCCCCTTAAAATAGAGTTTGACAGTACTTTGATGTCTTCAGATTGACTAATAAAGTTTCTCTGGATCATGACAACCTATTACTTAATACTCTTCTTCTGTATCTGTGCTGTGGTGTAGTCTGAAGTAAGTGAATTGGAGCTGAAAATGAGTGGAATGACTTGCTGACACTCTAGAGAAGAGTATTTTATAAAGCTCCTCCCCACCACTTAAAAAATAGACTGGTAAGTATTTGCAAAAACATTTCCCATAGGTTCAAGTGTGATATTTCAGTACTGCTAGGTAATGAATCGCGAAAGTGCTCAAAGTTCATTCCAACCACTTGAGTTGATTTAAGCTTCGGCATGTGACTTTTAGCAATGAAATGGTTAAATAAATTTGCCCACCTCAAGAATCCAAATTGACTTAATCTCTTTTGAAAAAATAGCACTGCCATACTCCTTTACTTCTGTTTGCCAGCAGGTCTCAGTCTTTTTTAGAAGATAGTTTGAGACCTTGTGTCCAGTTTGAGCTGGAGTAATCCAGATGTAGTTGGTCGGAATGATAAGGAACTCTGCTATGCGATAAACCTCCATAATCAACACCAAAGTATACAACACCTATCAGTGTTGTCAGGATCCCTAAACTCATTTTTTATTTTCGTCACGTTTATCAGTGAAGTATATACTGAGAGCATGTTTCAAAATCGAGGGACTCATGGATGTATATTTTCCCTAGATTTCATCTAACATTTTACTTAACTCTTCAAGAATCCTCAGCGATGCAGCTTCCATTCTTTCGTTATAGAGTTGTAAAAATGCTTGTAATTCTTCAGGAGAAAGTTATCATTTTTTTTACCCCTAGCCACTTCTATATATTCTTTACATTGGCCTGAAATAACCTTATTTATATTTATGCGGAAGCGTGTTCAATAACCTTGAGGTCCCACCCTTAATGGTCGTCAAGCTTATCCGTAAAGAGAAAAAAACGGTAATACTATATATATATATATATATATATATATATATATATATATATATATATATATATATATATATAACAATGGTCTTGGCTATTTACAAGCCTTCCTAGACTTAAATCCTATTGATATATATAAATAAATGATTGTGGAAGCTCAATTTTGTGAAAATAAACATTTTATAATATTTATGAAACCATGATTCCAGTTTTATTATCGAAGACTATCTGGACTAATAGAGCATCTGAATAGTAATAAACAGAATTGTGTTGGTACGTTTTGGCATCAACTGTCAGTGAGATGAAGTAACTTATGATCATTTTGCTTAGCTCGGACAGTTGACTTTAGTAAACCTATCTTCACCATTAGGAATGATTTCTGAACTCAAGAGGAAACTTTGATCATAAAGTTCAAATAAGACGCAATTTTTGGGCTAAGGTTACTGGTTAACTGTTTAGCTTTATAATACGTGTTCTGAAAGGATATTAGTTTCTCTTTGTTTAGTCCTGCTGGTATGATTTTCAGTCGATAATCTACAAACCACTTCAAGTTCACTCACCATCCACAAATCAGAGATCAGAAAGTGATGCCTCTTGTCCTTAAGATAGATTCGGATTTAAACCAGAAAGTTTCGGTCTGGTTTCTGCAATGAACAAGAGATGGTTATGTATCCTGAAGGAAAAGATAACTTAGTAGTTACGCTAAGATCTGGTTACCAGGCGATTTTCAACTACTAGGTAAAAGTGTGTTGATTTTAATCCTGTCACGAATAATTTGATTGTCGTCTCTGATAGTTATTTCTAAAGACTAAATACCGTTCACAATGAGGTGAAAATCTGATTGCCACTCTCAAAGGTTGAGTTTTTACTGGTTTGGGATTAATCTTTGTACTATCCTTCATAAAAGATGTACATTTTAGGGAATAATGTCTCATGAAAGTTTAAAAAAGTAGATAGTCTCATATGTTTTCTTCAGACTATATGGCTGAAGGAGAGAATGTCTGAAATTTTGAGGAAAGCAGATGATTGTGTAAACTAGCCTACACTTTATTACATTACATGTAATGACTGTGAAGTCAAATACATAGGTCAAACTAGCCGGTCGGGGTCAGTTAGATTAACAGAACATAGGAATTTAGCTAAACATAGAACGACAGACCCCAGTAAGATCAATAATCTAGAAAAAACACCTGGCCATTGCATTACATTCATTAACACACAACCACACAATAGGGTGGGACAAAACCACTGTACTTAAGTCTAATATAGCTAGGTGGAGAGAGAGATTAATTACTGAATCTTTGTTCACCGAATCCACACCCAACACATGTAATAGGAATGACGCAACACCTATACCAGAGATATGGAAAACTTTACTACCAACCAAAAAACAAAAAAACAAAGAAAGATCAGGTGACAGGACTATAAAATCAGATGTCGAAAGAAGTGTGATTACATTGGTATGATTATGAGCAATAATTTATGCTCGAAACGTAATCAATTAAATAATACTGTATCACTGTGCGCTTTATATCAAATAAACAAATCTAATATGGAAATAGCCTTCACTTTCATTTAAAATATTTCTATCAAATGTTTCGATTAATCATGCTTTAAAAAAATATTTAACCGAAGGCACTATCAGAAATGTCACGTTACTTCAGTTCCGTGTGCAATCTCTTCACCGTCCTCGAAAGTAGACCTCATTAAGCACTAGTAGATGTTAAATATTAACACAGTTTTATAGATTAAAAAGGAAATGTGTTTATATGTTCAGCTTTTTATGAGGATTTTCAAAAACTTTTGATTAGGCACAAGATTGTATTTTCTTTCTCCTTTCAATGTTACAAGTAAAAGTATTCTCTGGTTAACTAGCTCTGTCATATTTTGCATGATACAATTTACTTTTTAAAACAATAGTTCTACGAATTACATTCATGGGTTGTAATTATTGAAATCAATGTATGAGTACCATGCAAAGTCATTTAAGAAGATTAGAGTGTTTTTACTGAATGATAGTCTGCTGCATACAAAAAGAGGGTTTTAGAGTGATCATTATCAACGGGAGTAATCGTTTAAGCTGACGTTAGCATTACAATTAGATATTCCTAATTCATGTTTAAAACTTTCAGTATGAATACAAGCGGTTAAAGAAGTAAGAGTTCTTTTCAGTTACTGAGTTTGAAGTTTTCAAGCTGATGAGTATCAATAGGTTGCAAATCCTCTAAACAGTAAAACTGGTGGCTGTTCGCAGCAGAAAGAATTAGAAATGTGAGTTTAAGAGAAACACCTCACGCTGCTATCTTGATACTATCTGAAATCAACAAATCCTTAGGCCTACCATCAAGTAAATCTCTTTATCCTGAACTCAATAATTCTCGAATTATTAAACCGCTTAGTTTCAACAATACTATACATATTTTTAGGACGTGTTTTATTACATTGAATCATGATTCTATGTTGTAATGCAAACAGATGCACTGCTGTTAAATACTCTCAAATGTAAGCCCATTAAAGCGGTATGTAATAAGTTGTTCTGCTATGTCCAAAGAAAGCATAGCTGAATATATGAAAGTATTGATGTATTACATCCAGGAAGTGAATCGCAGACCCATATTTTTTTCCCACCACATAACTATCAGCACGTCGAGCTGTTTGCAATATGGCTTTAAATCAGCATCTACTGCCTAAAAAGCCAAAGCACTGTCCCTCAAGCTGAGGAATATCAGTGGTCACTTCATGTTGAGTAGATTTAGTTAACGGCTGTAATATACAGTTTCTTGTTAGTGGCTTAACTTGATCGATTGAGACTGCTGACACATGGTTGCTTTGTGGATGCTTAAATAAAACCAGAAATATGGGTTAAATTGTAAATAATGGATAGTGAAGATTACCGAGTTATTTTCAGCCAATTTCCAATCATGATACATAATTGGTCTTCTCGGTAAAATTGACTCATTATCACAGGATCCTGCATACGAATACTAGCCTGGAAAATAGCATAATCCATGTTTAATATAGTTCGGATGGTTTTTCATGCTAAGCTTAACTTGTTTTCACCCTTGAACATCACATTTTTGTAACTAAATGAATTGCAGAGACAAAATACCTAATCTAACTAACGAAATGACAAGAATGTCAAGAATTGCCTATGTTTATGTTAAGTTCGTTGACGGCTTAGCCAAGGTAAGCTAATACGTTTGATTCCTTTATCAGGGTGTAGTAATAACGTGACATAAAAAAGATGACAGGAATTTTTGCTGAGCATTATGCACATTCAGGTGAACCCGACTAATATATATATGTATATAGGTTATCATTTGAATCTGTCACAATGAGGAATCTGTGGATCAAAACTTCTTATCAGAAATGGTACACAAGCTTTATTTTCTCGCAATAAATATCAATCAGTCAACAGTGGGTTTGCAGTTTGAACAATGATCTAAACAACAGTACTGATAAGTTAGGGCAATATGTTGATTTTGCTTTTGAAGCATAATTTTTTCGCCTATCATATCTTTGTCTTTAATATAGATTGAACAACAAGTAAATATCATTAGTATACTAAACATGCAGTAAAAAATATCTATAAAAAAACATTGAACATTTGTAAACTGATAAAGCTGATGATGACTGTATGGCGCTATCTTTGAAATGTTAAAATGCCAATTTATCATGACATCATAAATAAAGAAGACAATCTTTACAAAGTGTTCTAAAAATGAAGGCAACAGCATAGAAGAGTGGAATATAGAACTTCATTTTCACGACTGTATTAACAGAAAGTTTTTTTAGACTCTTGTTGTTATTCTTTTGGAAATAATGAATTATAGTGAAGTTGACAGTTTTCCAGAAACTCATTCGTATTTGAAAATAATAGCCAATATTTGTAGATTAGACTGTGTCCAGTTTACAAGAATATTGGAAAGAGATCAGTTAAAAGAATTAATGCATCCAAATACAAGGAAACTGTTTATGCAACTTTAAATGTGATTATCAAACAATTGGATCGAAAGAACTCATGTGTAGGTGAACAAATTTCTATACCTAACTAATCAATGAATCAAAAGAATCCTTTTCCTCTGTAAAATCTAACCAACCAGCAGCAGCAGCATAGAGCAAATCAACCTAACAACTTCAATACATCCAATCAGATTAAGACAACTGTTGACAATTCAGTTTAGCAAAATTGTCAACCAATCAGAACAAGGTGACCTTCATATTTTCATCTGAACCAAACGTGCCAACCAATCACAAGGAGCTGACCTCAACGAACTGAAAGCAGAAAATGGAAATCAGTCAATCATCTGGTTGTAGATCTATCTAGATTTTAGTATATACCAATATACTCATCAAGTAATTGATCAGGTTACACTCATACAAAGTAGCGCGTCGTAATTATCCTCGCCTAACCAATTATTTAATGTTCTTATGAAGCTCTGACATATTGATCTAGCCTAAAGTTTAAGTAACTCTGATGACTCACATTTGCTTCAGTCAATAAATATAACTTCCACTATTCACAAATTTGGTGAATTTCCAGTGTAGATCAAAGTGCCTTTGATTTGTTAACTTCAGGTAGGATAAGTGTTTCAGTTTGAGGGTTTGTTGGGATTTAGTGGTTTTTTAAGTTAGTATTCATCATGGAATGACATCAGTTGGAGAAACATTGGGAACCTTGGAGCAGTGGACAGATACTTCGTCCTAGTATGGAACTTCCCACCAGTCCTTACCCATCACTCCGCCAGGGAATCGAATATAGGACCTACAGGTTCCATGGCCAGCACGTTACCATTGAGCCACTGGGTCGGAATGCAGTGGTCCATATTTCTTACTTCTCTCGGTTCATTTTGTAGCACGACTATGACCCAATGTCATCGTTGAATGCTTGTCCCCACGTCCAATCAGTTTGAAATAAATGCTATTGCACTGATCATCTTGTGGTACAGTTTAGGATTAGAACGCTTGAATTTGACCAGAGGTCGCTGAAGTTATCAGAAGTTTCAAAGAGTACTACACACTTTGCGTACAAATTTGGCAGAGTAATCAAAAGGGACTTAATCCCCTGAGTTCACTAAGTGTACTGTTATAGAGCTGAGGATGCATTTTTGTTCTCTTCTTGTCAGTCAAGTTGGATAGTGTCCACGATAGCATTAAAAAAGCTGGCGCATGGTACCACCGATGTACTCGTCTCCATATGAGCAGATAAACTGAGATACACGCAATGGTGTGGCCCAACTCTCCGGTTTATCATTTGCATGCTGGTAAATTAGTTCCTGAGAATGCGATTTCAAGTTGAGCGGCGAAGAATGTCCTTTTTATGGACGTTGAAAGTCCCTTTCTATGTATATGTGAGGCATTATCTCCCTTGAATTCGAGGTCTAACAGTAAAATCTCATTGGAGTGATATTAACGTGTATGATGGCGCTCGCTGATTATTTTCGATAATATTGTGTCTTCCAGGCTTGATATAAAACAGTCAGCTGGGATGGGTTCTAGAGATGATTCCATTGCCACGCCGTCTGTCTGTCTGTAGCTTCTGTTGTTAAATCTGAAGGGCAAGTTGGAAGTACATCTGGGAAGAAGTTCCTTTAGATAGTGATTTGGGATACCAATGTTCAATCTATGGGACTGAATGAAGCTTTTCAGGAATCAAGTGGTTTCCGTTAGTGGGGCATCTTTAAATAGGGAGATGACATCCAGAGAAATCATCTCCTTCTCTTACAGATCAACATTTTTGATTCAATCAATAAAGTGAAATACGTCACGCGGGCTATGTTGCGAAATCTCATTCTTCACTGGGTCCAGTATCTTGACGAGTCACTTTATAACCGAATGGTGAGGAGAATTGGTCGTGTTTAGTATCGGATGAAAGGGAACACCTTATTTGTGTACTATAGATAAACCACACAGTCGAGAAATCAAAGAATCTGATGGACGGTAATCTTCGTAGGGTTTAGTGCTAATCAGTGCTTCATCTTTCATCTTTTTCAGTTTCTCAGACAACTTGCGCTCTATTTCATTGGTAAGGTCTTTCTGTATTGTCTGTTTTGAAAATCTTGTTCCATCTGATAGAATGAATGAAAGCGTATTTATATAATCAGATTTGTTCAGAAGCACTATTCCAGCACCTTTGTAAGGGGGTATCATGGTTAAGTTTTGATTTTTCTGAAGATCCCTGAGTTAATTCCGATATTCTTTTGATAGAATGTGTCACGTATTGGATTTTTTATTTAAATAACCTATACAACAATTTAGAACAGTTGATTTCCAATGGTCAACGTCATTATATGAGATTGCTGTGGTCGTACATTCTCTTATGTTTAAATGAAGTTGTTTCGATATTTTGAAGAATAACTAAATAGCCATCATGAGTGTTACTATTTATAAGGGTGTGCTAGCACACGGCCTGCTCTTCGGGCTATCTGCAACCAAGTTACATCAATCAAAGTACATCACAATGCTTAGTTGCTTGGTGAGCGTATTACAAAATGGTAGGTAGAATTCGCTTATCACAATACTAGATAACATGGAATCGGTCAGTAGCCATTGATCAATTATTGTAAATAACTTTATGTATTTTAAATGGCTTTGTCAAAAGCTCATCTTAAAGTAAGAAAATTTCTTTTGACATTCACGCCATTGTGACAGCATATACAATTATAAAAGTGTATACACTGACTAATCATACGAGCGTTATGCTTCTGTTTACCTCGAATATTTAGCTGTTCAAAATATGATCTTGACTTCTATACGAAACTACACTCAAGTTTTAAAATGAAGTTTTAGTTCAAAATGCTTAAAGTTCTCACCATCCAAGTACTGATGAAAAAAGAGTGTCTGCTTTTGAATAGTATACGATTGACTACTGATAGTTAACATAAAATCCATTAATTCAACACCAGATAACAACCTATTTCATGCTATTTTGTTCTCAGTTATGACTGAATGACTCAGCACCTGTTCCAGATACATAGAAAATCTTACTACTTATATCAGAAAGGAGGCGGGAAAATTATTGCTATATGAAGCGTATCTTGAAGTTGTTTAGTTTTACTGACATGATTATGGACAATAAATTGTGTCCGAAACGTAATCCAGTAAACAATACTATTCTACTGTGTGGTTAATCTAATAAATCAACGAAAATGGGATAATATTCTACCATACTGCACAAGTTTCACTCTGATATTAAAGATTGAATTCGGTCAATTACTTTATAATATGGTCGCCAAGCTAGGAAACCAAACATGGCAGTGCACCTTGATAGTTTCTAGTTGGTCAAAGGGAATCAACATGAAGCCCTGATTGACCTTAGCTTCCTAATTGTTTTCATTTCTCAGCAAGTTGTATCTGTCACCTCAAGGGAACAAAATTTCTCTTTTGAATTCACAAATAAATCTTGTTGATGTTCTCAACTATCAGGGAACCTACATCAACCAAGGGTTGGTTGGTGCCAGTTCCCTTCAACTATCTGACATCAATCAAAATATCCACTTGGATGAGTCTGATAGCATCAAGCAGCCTTATTTTCAGTTGATGACATACAACCAATTTGAAGTTAAAGACAATTAAGTTCTGATTATGCTTTTCAGAATTTGTGTGTATCTTCAAAGTGTTCTGTGAAAGGGAGTAGACGGATTATGAGGTATTTAAGAGGTTTCAATGATTCACTAAGGGAATTTACTTATAACAAGTAACTCAAATTGTTAGATCCATAATGTATTCATTGATTATAGTGGTACTAGATTCTTAAACTTTATGCTTTAAGTTTCTTCCATTGAAAAAGTTTTGTTCTCAAGTAAACTTCATTTTCAATATATTTTTTACCAATAATCAAATCCAGGGATTTTCTTTTTCTTCATGAATACAGTAATAGTATGGGAAAGTAGTAAAGTAATAGTATATTGGTGTAGTAGTAGTAGGGACGGAATAGTAGAAGTGTGGGAGTAGTAGTAGTAGTATAGTAGTGTACATTAATTACTTACATTTACGTTACAACGCTCTGTAGTAGGCATTTATTAGGTGTATTTTACTAACTGGCATTCGTACTTGTAATAATCAGTTGTTATTTAGGATCTGACTGATCGAACTCTATTGGCATATGGGCTTTTATGCGGATGCAATGACTTCTGGATAACAGTTTCAGTGGGAACAACCTCACTGACTAGAGTTCAGATACTTCTACATGAAGAGTCTCAGCTAGGATGAAACATGCTTGCTGGATTTCACTGCTATTCATCACCAAGCAAACTGCAAAACAGTGAATACGTGCATAATATTATTACTATTATTCAGTGCTCAATTGTTGTGTAGCTTAATTGGAGAAAGCTTCTATGAGGGACATTATTCGTATTTATCAAATACCTCCAGTGATTATTATATTTAACAAGTTTTAGTGAATCTTATATAATCATCTGAAATGACCGTGACAAATAGAAATTGTGGGAATGTTCTAATAAGTTTGTTGGAAACAGTGTGCCATTCAAGTCAATGTCAATAAAATAATTGTCAGTGAAAATCAAAATCGTTGGACAACTTTAAGCGAAAGAAAGTGAAAATCCCGATGGACTCATATAAAAGTAAAGATAAAGTATGTTATCTGAATACCCAATGCCCTGTTTATAATTTCACTCAGAAAGAGACATTTTTATCGCAGCAGAAATGGTGGAATTACTCCCTGCCATAATTTAGGTGACTTTTATAATTTATGGCTCATTATTGTAGATAATATATGAATTTAAAAGTTGTTTACATTCCATATTTATGTCAGTCATCGCTCTGATTCACTCTAGTATAACCTTAAAATACTCTTCGCCATCTCATAAAACTTAGTTTCCATCCTTTTTGATGAGATTGTGTCCATCTTAGAGAAGAACGGCTACCCACGAAACTTTATCACAAGATGCCTATCCCGTACATCATCGACTACAAATTCACCGACAGAAATCAACAAATGAATCATTCTACCATACATAATGTATC